AGAGAGAGAGAGAGAGAGAGGGAGGGAGGGAGGGAGAGAGCGATGCGCTTTGCAACGGAGACAGAGATCAACTAAATTTATACTCCATTTACTTAATAAAGAAATTATAAGTTTTTCAAGGATTAAGTATTTGAATGTGTGTTTGAAGTGTTTCGCAAATTTGTTCGTTTCAAAGACAAACTTTCAATTAATTACTGAAAGTTATTTTTTGTTCATTCAGTCACTAAATGTTAAGTCTCTGGGATTAGAGACAAAGAATATTATCAAAAACAGTGATAAATATTGTTTAGTTTAATTATCGCAGACTATATTTGAAAAACTAATTTTTGTTTTTATAATAAATATATTCATATCTCTAAAACATACGGCAATTTATTTTTATTCTTAATGCCATACTTAACATGCATTAAGAATAAAAATAAGAGTTTTTATGACCAGACCTTGTTTTATGGCCAGAATTCCTGCAATTCCTGCAAATTCTCTAAACAAAACTATTCTTATTTCGTTAAAAGGCTTTTAATAGATAAAAAGCCGTATTTAATGTCTACTATAATGTCTCGCCTTTTTATAATAAATTATTTCACTGAATAATTAAACCAATAATACTTCCAATTCATTATTCATTGTAAGAATTCAACAGTTTTTAATGACATTCATAAGACATGTGTTCACTATTTTCAAGTCACGACTCTTTGGGCATAAATAGCTTTTTTTCTCGTAAATTACTGGCATTTTTGTAACGATTTTGTTGTCATTTAGAAAATTTCAAAGTGTAATAACACTTCGCAATGTATTAAAAGTGATTTAACGTCTTATAAAATCAAATCATTCATAAAAAACTAGACAATGATTGACATCAAGGACTGCACGACTCCTGGTATGAGGAACTGATAAACACAGCACTTTATACACAGGGAGAGAAAGGAGGAGTGCATTGCATCTAATGGTAAGTCATTTACCGTTTAATTGGATTCAAGTGTTTAGCCAAACATTCACTCATAGGAATACTATAGCGAAAACATAATAACATTCTGTATACACAACAAAACAAATACTGCACTAAAGTTAATCCCATTAAAGTCAGTGAAATTTTCGGAAATTTTATTTCGTAGTCAAGTAAATGGTATAATCTTTACATTTTAAAATGCAATCAATAATAAAAACTAACATATATTTCAAATAGTAATAGTAATCATAATAATCATTATTATAGTTAAAGATAAAATAGTGAATTAAAGTCTTATATTTTAAAGCCTTTTTTGTTTATAATAATTATATAATATTTAAATATATATAAAATGAGCAAAGATTTCAATAAAAGATTTTAAAAATGTATTCGTATTTCTCCGGAGAAATGTCTTTCAAATGAACAAAAAACACAATTCATATGCAAAAAAAGTTATACAAAATAAAAAATATTTCAAAAAACAAATAATTTCGCCAATGATTCTCAAGACTAAAAATTTCTAAAATACAATCGTTTCGTTATCTCTTAAGGCAATGAAAAACTAAGACAAAAGGACGCAAAATATTATTTTATGTTTTGTTTTTTGTTGTAAAATATGTATTTATATAGAGTTTAAACCCATTATTGTATCGTTTCAACAATTCATGTCAATTATTGTTTGTTTTCATGATTTTTAAAAAGAGAAAAATTTCTGTCAAAATGTCTAGACATTGATCCGCAGAATAAAACAATTAAAAAATATTCGTTTTACACATAAAAACAGTAATAATTATTATTATTGTGATAATAATAAAGTCAAAGAAGAAGTGACGCGAATGAGAAGAGGCGCCCAAAGAGAGGTAGCGTTCAATCGTGAGGTCGCGGGTCGTGAATAGGCATTGTGTGGAGCACTTCGTCCAGGAGTTGGAGGGCCCGATGGAGGTGTACTTCTATCCAACAGGGGGTCTCTTTGATGCTTTGGCGCGGATAGTCTGGTCCCCAACCCTTCACGAATGATAGTCGAAGAATACACAGACGCCTCAAGTCGTCGACACCAATGCCGGCCGCGGCGGACAAACCTGTCATCAAATGTTTGCCAAATGTTAACAAACAAAATGCTAAACAATATATTATGGCGTAAACTGACTGATTGCTGGTGCGATGCCACCGACCGAAGCGGGCCCTGGAATATGTCCGGCCACAGCGGCGGCCTGGGCTGCGGCGGCCGCCTGAGCGGTGTGGGCCTGTTGTTGCATTTGCCGATAGCATTGTCTTAAATCGAAAACTTTGATATAAGCCGAGGGGTAGATCTTGTGAACGGCATCGCCGGGAGATCTGCCCGCTTCCCGATCCAAGTAATAACTCTGAACGAATACGGAATGATCGGACAGACATCGCAGCCATACGTCGCCCTCACCTCTCAGGTCCAACTGAACGCCTGTTTTGAGGGCAAATACAGCGTAAAAACATATGAAACAATACGTCAATGAGAGGGTGAGACCAACCTTTGCCGATATGAAGCCTCGCTTTATCGCTTTGATCGGTTCGGTGAACGTTGGAGAGGGCGCCCAAACAGAACCGATTGCCACCACTCGGGTCCACATAGCCGTCCACAATGACGGAGACATAACTGGATTGCACTTTGAATGTTTCGCCCACGTGTTGGTCTAACTCGAAGTAAGCTATTGAACACCAGTATTCGGGCGGCGGTTGGTTTGATAGTGTGGTCTGAGGTATAGTAGCAGTGATCGGTTCGTTAGGCATTTGCGACGGTTGCCAGAAAGGGGTCGACGACAGGCCAGACGTCGGACGCGTCGGCGTATCCGATGGAACCATTGTTTGAGTGTATGATAGAGTGGCGCCTCCGGCCCACGAACACGTACTCCCATTCGGTGTAATGGCATTGGCAGAGATGGGAGGGCCCCCCACAACGTTAGCGCCCAATACCGGTGGCACCGGTTGTTGTTGTTGCTGCTGCTGCTGTTGTTGTTGTTGTTGTTGTTGTTGTTGTGTAATCTGCGGCGTCTCCGGTGTTTGCGGCGGAACTATTGGGACTAAAGGTGAGGCCACCGACTGTGGCGACGACACTGAGATATAGTCGGCAGAGGAGGGCGTGTTTGGCATCATTCTTGAGAACGAGTCGTTACTCGAGGGCGACATTGATGTGGATGTCGTGGAAGGAGTGATGTGTGACGCGTGAGATACAGACGGATGCGGCGGTTGGGCCTGAATGTGATGCTGCGATGGATGAGCGCCGGGATGCGGGTGCGGATGGTGTTGGACCACGTGCTGCATGTGTTCCAGCGATGGCACGTTTCCACCGCCTGTTCATCAATGAGTTGACAACAAATTGCTATTTATTTTGTTTCACATTTAAATTCATTGCAAAAATATTTGTTAGAAAAAGGCATTGCTTTTGACTTTAAAATTGAAACTAAACTGAAAAGCATTTGAAACTAATATGATATTTGAGTTAAACTTTCGCTTTAATGTCATAGACTTTTTTGACAGTTGAAGTGATGTCTTAATGCAATAGTTATGTCAAAAAATATCAAATTAATGTCAAAATAATAGTTAAAGAACTGGTTTTTCTTGTTTATATAAAATATCAATTAAAACAAAAACAATTTAAATTCATTAATGATTTATATAATAATGTAATCATTTTCAAAAATCTTATCTGATATTCAAACCAATTCACGTTAAATTGCTTTAAAGACCATTAACTGGGAATCTAATCGTTAATGACTTTGAGATTAAACACTATTTTATGAATAATATAACACTTATTTTGATAATAAAAAACTCTCTTAATTGACAAAAACACTAATATTTTTCACAATTAAAAGCATAATTAAAACAAATAATTAAAAGTAAAATCAATTAAAATGTTGCAATCAGTACCGGAAACATATTCGGCCTTCACTTGACTCCTGATGCCGACCTCTTCGTCGTGTCCGGTGAGTGTGAGGCCCGAGAGATCAATGCCGGGAGAGACCACTCGCTCGTAATGATAGGGATTCACGCAAACGGAGTCACACTTGAGGTCGAAAGCGAATTGACCTGAGATTCAACGCAAACATCACTTAAATAGTGACTCCAAATAGACGTGTAATTCAAGACAGGGATGTGTTTTACGTACAGTATTTCACGTGTTTGAGCTCATTCTTGTGGAGATCAGGCCATCGCCAGATGCGGGCGTATATGACGTGAGGAAAGCCCTTACGACCGGCCACTTGGAGGCGACCGTCGAGTGTCCTCTGGATTGTCACACATTTGGACGGATGCGCGCCATTAGTGGTGATGGCAGTGATCAGTGAATCCAATTCATCCCTTTTCTCCTTCAGCTTCTTCACCAACGACTCGATCGCCCGTTTGGCGAACCCTTCGCTCTCACCTGATATTTACCGCAATTACAATCATATCATCAGTTAATTCATATCATTTATGGCACAGATTAAGCTCCCGGCGCTTCCCATACCGGCCGACAACACTAAGTGGTCATCAAATGGTTATAAACACAATAAAGCGGACTAAAGGCCATCAAAGAGTGTGTCGGCCGGGAGTGGATGTATTGAGCGCCGGGAGTGGTGACAATGACAATGACATACCTCCCTGTCTGTGACACATCAATGAGTGGACAATCGATAGGCAGGCGTCGGCCGAAGTGGGTGTGGAGACAGCGGGTCCGCCACCACTGCCGCCACCCGACGGTCCGCTCGACGACTGGGAACTGTTGGACACGTTTGGGACAGAGTTTGGCTGCATTTGCGGCGTTTGTAAAGACATTATTCAACTATAATTGTCACCAATCGATGACCAAAACACTGGTCTCTCTCTCCCTCTCTCTTCGCGATGCAGTCAATGAAGTGGTGTTTGAAATGAATTAACCAAACATTGATTTCTTGGGCACTAATAGTGATGTCAAACACAATCAAAAACACAAACAATTAATCGGTGTTTGAAATGTAAATCAATATTAAGTATTCAATCATTTGTTTATTTAAACCAAAAAAAGGCGAAACTAATTATGAAATGAATAATTGAATTACAAAATCATGTGTTTATAATTAATGTCTCGTTTTATCCATAATTAAAACTTTTAATTTGTTTTTCTAAAAGTAATCAGTTTTTATGATTACATTATATTTTTTGTTTTATTTTCATAAATAAATGGTTTGTTTTATTTATGTTATCATTTCATACACTTTCTCCACATTTCACTTCACTCTTCATGTGTTGCGATAACCGTTTGTTTAGTACTTTTGCTGACACAGTGTTTATGGCTTTAATTAGCGCTATATTTCTCTATGAAATGGTACTCAATGTCTGTGCGCTTACAAACATTAATGGCTATAATATGAGTCATATTATATGACAAATATTTGCGTTAAAACATATGTTTAGCCCTTTTTATGATATAATATAGTGTTGAATGTCTATACGATTGTATGGAGTCTAAGGACCAATAGTGCTGACATTTCTACTAAATTTGAACATGTTCAATTTGATTGTCAATTCACTCTATGGCAAACTTATCGCAACAAATTTATGATCACTTTTGTGTCCAATTCCTACCCATTAATGATATTTTGCACTCAATTTTAGATTTAATGTCAATTTAATAATTGTATGGTTTAATAAATAAACAAATATAATAGAGTTGATATAAAATAGCGGTACATTTAAACCGCAAAGAGTCCACACTTAAGACATACCTTAAATTGCACTCTCGATGACAGTTCCCAAGACATTGATATCAAACACACTGTGATTAACACGTTATTATTTTTAACGTTAAAAGTTTATTACATGTTAAATATATATTAAACTTATTATATTTTAAAATACTTTTTCTAAAAGTTTATATACTTTTAAAATTTAAATACATAAAAAAAAGTTGTTCACAATTATATGGAAGAATGTATTTTCTTATATAAATCTCAAATTAAATTAAATACAGTGAATGACAAATGAATGATACAGTGATTCAAAACACGAGGTGAGACAGACGGACAGACAGACAGATAGGAGGCGTGTAATGAAATCACGGCGTCTATAGATTAAGCACTGGTGTTGAACCCCTTTAGGGCTGATCTCCGATGTCTGGCTTTTCAGTGGTATTAACGGGTTTGTAAATAGGGTCCGATATATTAGGCTGTGATTGGGCTTTGGCTTTGTTTCTATTGCGACCCCAACTGCCAAAGAATTCAAAGCTATTCCTCTTTGAATTGTTATGCCTTCGGATACAAAACCAGAAGATAGCGAAGAAGACGATGAAGAGTGCGATTCCGATGCAAAGCACTATCAGTACGATTGAACCCAAACCCAATCGATCGGGTTTTGGCTCGTAATCGAGGCACAGGTCCTGAAACGATGCGATTATCGATTCCAAGCCCTAAATGCATGAATCAATTCATTGGAAATAAGCTTTAAGAATAAGAATAGGCGTATATCCTATGCCCTCATGTGACCCACTATTGTATACCCTTAAGTACATTAAAAGGGAATTAGACTGTAGTTAAGGGTTAATACAGCTCAGAGACGACTGAAAGTCTTATAAAGTTATAGATTTAATCTACAAATGGCTATTCATATGAGAGAAGGGGACAAATGGTTGGTCCGTTTGCTGACCTGTTTATAGTAACGACTCGTAAAATGAATTTTTGTTTCGCTTAAGACTTTATCCAAATCGGCGTCACTTATGACACTCCGAGCTCTCGAACCCATCGACACGTAAACCTAATTAAGTAATAATTATTTTTAAAAAATGTCAAAATAATGCCTCAATTGAATGCCTTGTCGTCCAAAGCGGCGAAGAATATGAGGACATCATTACTGCAGTCTTCGCCGAAACGCCACTTCCGTCGCGTCCTTTCGGCAAACATTTCGACCGATCGGTCTATTGTTATACTAAATATAATTGATTATTAGTTTGGGTTAAAGTCTCAATAAGTGATGATATGGTGTAAATGGCGGTCATTGCGAACACGGCTTACTTCCTGATAACTCTGACAAACTTGACGAGAGCCACCTTAATGTTGAGACCCCGTCTACTCGGCGGACACGCATCGCAAATACATTTCGTGTCATTTCTCTCGTTATTAATCAATTCGTCCAAAAATAGGGCTTCAATTAGAGACAATATTTTGACAAATAGTGTGAATTGTATTATAGGCACAAAGAGTGATACACGAGATTTTTGTTAATTACTACAGCTATTAGTGACTCGTCAAAAAATTAAAACCAAGAATATAGAATACCTTCGGTTTTATGAAGAATTTGATCAGGGTCGCATATAGACGATGGTGGGTTCCGGAATGACCCCGTACAGAATTTAGCCTGGAGGTCTGATGTGAGGTTGGGGTATATATCTGGGTCCCAATTGTACACTTCTTCATCTCCATTGATATTTATAATAAAACAAAACGAAATTAACAGTAAAATTATGTGCGAAATCATTGTTAAGGAATGGTTTCCTCTATTGTTTGACTTCATGTTCACTCCATTTCATTGGAAAGACATTAATAATTAATGTAATATTTATTATTATGTGATAAATACTTGAAGAAAAATTTGTTTATTTAGCAAAAGTAGTATTGTTTTTATCACTTTTTCTGGAGACGAAATCATAGGTCGAGTTATTCAGTGATTATTTCCATAGAGAATGACTGGAAAATTAGAGACGGAGAGAGAGAGAGAGAGAGAGAGAGAGAGAGAGACTTATTTGCTATCAAACAATTGCATTCAATTCCTACACAAATTCTAGCGACAATAGATTTGTGACACTTTTTTATTCAAAACTTAATAAACAAAAAACACTAAATTAATGACATTAAACAATACGAACAAAATTACATTTTTTATAAATACATATTTTACTCAAATGAGGTTTAAATTACTTGTAAACCAATACCTGTTTGCCATAAAAAGCCATACTTTGGTTATCAGACAGTACTTAACTTAATATTAACAATAATAGTGTCGGCAATAAGAAAAAGTAATTGCAAATATTAAATGATAAGTTGTTTACATTATATATAGTATATTAAAAATTAGATCAATTTTATAGCAAGAATATTTAGCATTTAAAAAATTGATTGGAATAATATTGTATAATTTATAATTTATTAATAATTCTCAGTACATCACAATTTATTTCAATTACAGTAGATATTTGTAATTTTCTACATATTTAGTTACAATAACTATAGTATTTGTAACAGTACTTTTACATACATGCCATTTTAATAAGTGTATTAGTTTGCTTTTTAAATTATTCGGGAGATAATCATGTGGCCATATAAGGGCCTTAAACACAATGTATTCTTAACTAGAGTAGTCTTAATTAGATCCCTCGTTAATTAGCATAAATGAGCGTAAATTATATTCAAATTGTATTAATTTAAGCACTTTTGGGTTTAGCCCCAAGTTTACCACTCCTGGTATGCCTACACCTCAACCATAATATTAAACCTATTCTTAAATTACAACAAAAAATTAAAACTAAATCAAAGAAAAACTTTTGAATAGAAACTAGAGATAGAATTTGTATCAGAAATATAGGTTAGAAAAAGTTATAACACAAAAGTTTTCGCACAAAAGATGGCATTCATGTGAATATTGAATGCAAAACAAGTTTTTGGTTTCATTTGTGTGAAAAACAACACTTTATTTGAGTCTAAATTTTGTATTCAATTAATCGCCGATTAAGACATCGATTGACGAGTTTTGAACCCATTGTCAGCGATTGCGGAGTGAATTAGGGATCAAATGAATTGAGACGTTTGCCAGAGGAAGAAGAAGAAGAGGCGGAGAAGACTATGAAGAAGACACATCGGCTGAGGAGTACGCAAAACATACCACTGCCTCCCGGATGGGAAGTGGCGGTGGACTCGGAGACCGGGAACACCTATTATGTGGACCACAACAGCAAAAGGACGCAATGGT